TTTTTGTGGTGTCTCCTGTAATGCATCTTCGTGATGATAAGTTGAAGAGAAGATTAAGAATTAAAAAGAAAAGAAAGAAAAACGTCAAGAATCTCTAAATTAAATTTATTTTAAAATTCTTAGACTCTATATTAAAAACCCAAGAGCTCAAAGACTTTGGAAGATTAAATGAAGTGATGTTACTACATCTACTGAATGTATTTTGATCTATGAAAAGAATGTTAGGAGGAATGTTAATATTATTTAATGAAACACATTGTCTGAAAGCATTTGAATTAATACATTTTAATGAAATTGGTAATTCTATAGACCTAAGTTTTTCACAACGATCAAAAGCATTTGAATTAATGACTTGAAGATTAGAAGATAAGTCAATTGAAATAAGAGAATAACATAAAGAAAAGGCATATGAATCAATGATTAAAAGAGAGTTAGGGAGTTTTATTGAAGATAAAGAGGAGCAATGATCAAAACAATGTGTTTGAAGAGAAAGAAGGGATGTAGGTAGTTCAATTGATTTAAGAGAAGAACAATTTAAGAAACAATACGGAGATAGACTAGTCAATGACATTGGTAAATGGACATAAGTTAAATGCTCACAATTAGCAAAACAATTTAACCCAAGGGATTGTATTGTTGATGGAAGGCTAATTGTTTTTAGTGCATTACAACCATAGAAACATTCATTACCAATAGTGATAAGTGGTAATGATTCTAGTTGTAATGTTGGAAGAAAACTACAATCTTCAAAACAACTTGCACCAATTATTTTAATATTTGGAGATAATTCCATATAAGTTAGATGACTACAATTAGAAAATGCACCTTCATCTATCATAGTAATAGATGTAGGAAGTGTAATAGAAAGTAAAGCATTGCAATGACTAAAACAATACTTTGGAATAACTTGTAATGATGATGGTAATTGAACTGACTTTAAATAGAAACAATTTTCAAACAAACTAATAGGAAGGGATGATAAAGAAGATGGAAGAATAACTTTTATTAAGTTCGATTTACTAAAACAATTATTACCAAGTGAAGTAATTAATGTAGAAAGTTCAATAGATTGAATTAATGAAGATTCAAAACAATGATTTGAAAGAACAGAACAATTTGATGGAATAGATATTGTTAAATTATTATTGTTATAAGAAGATAACGTTATTGAATTTAATTTTAACAATAGTGGTGGTAATTTTAGTTTTAAAAGAATATTAGAATTAACAAAGAAACAACTATCATTTTGTATTGTCAAATTATTTGGAATATTCATAGACTTAATTGATGTACAGTTCATGAATATATTATTTCCAATTAATGTAAGAGAAGAGGGTAATGTTATTGATGAAAGACTTTTACAAAAAGCAAATGAACGGTCTCCAAGATTTAATAAATTTGATGATAAATAAATTGATGATAATGATGTACACCCTTCAAAAACAGAAGAGCCTACTGTTATTATTGAATCTGGAAGTTTAATTGTTTTTAAATTAACTTTCTTAAATGCGTCATTTTCAATTTTTTTAAGTGTTGAAGGTAAATTTATTGAAGTTAAATTTACACAATAAGCAAAAGCCTCTGTTTTAATTGAAGTAATTGATTCAGGAAGAGTAATTTCTGAAATTGATTTATTTTCTTTAAAACAAGAAGATCCAATTGAATGAATTGACTCATTTTTAAGAAGAATATCTAAAGAATTTATACAAAAGAGATTAATAGGTTGTCCATTAATCATTTCAAGTTGAGATGGTTTTTTAAAATATAATAATTCATTAAAAGTATTTAAATAATAAATATTAGAATGAATAATACCAATTATCTTAGAATATGAGAAAGAATGAAGTGATTGACAATTGTCAAATGCATCAATTCCTATTAAATGAATTGAATCAGGAATTGAAATAGTATTAATTAAATCACAATATTCAAATGCTTTATTTCCAATTACTTCTAATCTTGATGGCAATTCAATAAATGCTAATTTATTACAATGTCTAAAACAATTAGATTTAATACTAAGTAATCCATCAGGTAAAATAATTGAAACTAATTTTATTTCATCATTAAAACAATTTTCATCAAGAACATTAATATATTCTGGAATAATTATTGACTTAATTCTTCTTGTTGACATTTGATAAGTATGATCTTTCTCATTGATTAAAACAGAAGAATGAAAGACTTGTTTATCTAATTCAGAATCTTCTGGATGTTGATAAATCCATAAGAAAACATCATGTTGGGTGAATATAATATTCATTTTAATTTAGAACTATTAGTATTATTTGAGTATAATTAAATAATAAAAAATAATAATAAAATAAATTGTTTGTTGTTATATTTAATATACTATTAAATTATAATAACTTAATTATTCATATTTTATAATTATTTTATAAAAAAAAAACAAAAAAAAAGGGAAAAGTGAATTGTGTAGATGAGACCATCTATGTATAGTTTGTCTCTTTGTTAAAAAAGTGATATGTACATGAAATTAATGTAACAGAACTACCTTCTTCTTATTTAAATATGGATATTAGGACAAAAAATGAAAGACCAGTGACATTGTTTAATCAAAAAAAGACAAAACAACCTTCTATATCATTACCACGAAATTCTATTGTAGATACTCCATTAAATAATGGATTAAGACAACCACAACTAAGAAGAACATCAGTGTTTATGTCTACCCCTTTAACTGCATTGTCTGATGGACCAAGTCAAATGAATAATCAACGTTCTATTATTATTAAAAATGCACCATTATCTGAAATGGGTAAAATTATTGAAGAGGCAAAAAAAAATGGTAAGATAGAAGCAGTAAATCAAACTAATAATGGGGATATAAAAATTGTTTATTCTTCTGTTAATGATGCCCATAAAATGATCTCTAATGGTTTAATGTCAGCAAATGGAAAACAATATTTAGTAAACGGTATTAATCAATTTGGAGAAGAATATGGCTGTGGTGATGTTCTCCAACAATTAGTTATTCAACCAAGAAAAACATTTTGGGATTATCTACTTCATTTGGTTGGTCTTAAATAATACAAAACACAATATTTTATTATACGTTAGATTGATTTTCTTGATGTACTTTTTCTATTTAAGTTGCACTGTTTTGTTTTCAAAAGTGAAAGAAATGGTTTAATTGAAATATCAATTAAGTGATGCGAACAATTCATAATTGATTCCAACAATTACAAAGATAATTACTAATGAAAATAAAATTAATGAAAGGAAAAAACATAGTATAGACAATTGAACCCATTGTTGAATTTGTTTATTTGTTGAATGACGGTATAAACATGCATTAATTGGCCATAAACAACAAAATATAAATCCTAATACAAATAATAATTTTGCTTGAGGTTCACTTACATATACTATTTGAACAGGAGATGATTGATAACCTCCATAATTAGGTGATAAACCATTAAAAGGTGAGACAGGCTGGTTCTGATAAATTGGGGAATAAAGGAATTGAGTTGACTGAGACTCGTCTGGCTGTTTAGGTGATACAGGAATCATAATAATTTCATACAAAGAGAAAGATTTATCTTATAAAATATGTGACTTTTCATTTCACTTTTTATATCAAAAATCTAAAATACATAAAAAAAGTTTAAGATTAAAAAAAAATAAGAATAAAAAGTTGTTGTGAATTTAATTATTATCGTAATAATCTTTTGTGCATTGTTCTTCATCTTGTAATGTAGACATACCAGCTAATAAAGCAGCACCAACCCATGCTAAATATTTTCTATTTTGATGAACAATAATCTTAACATCTCTTGAATTCATCTTATTTTCTTCTAAAATTTTTTTGAGGTCTTGATCAAGTCTTTCTGGTAATCCAGGGAATAATGTTGATCCTCCAGCCAAAATGATATGATTTAACAATGGTCTTCTTGAAGTTAATGGACATTTTTTAATACATTCAAAGATCATTTGTGGTAATCCTTCTGTATCAATACCAACCTTTTCTGGTTTAAATAAAGCCTCTGGACATTGGAATCGTTCTTGGAAGAATTTAGAAGTGTTATCATTTCCAGGAACTTTATATTCTTTCATAATTTCTCTAGGTTTTCTTTTCATTTCTGCATCATAGTCAAGAGCAACATAACAAACATTTTCTTTAATTGCTCTTACTAATTCCATTTGTTGTGACGTTGTATAAATATATCCACATGACCTTAATAACCGTTGCATGTACTCTGTTAACCCAGAAACATTACCTTTAATTTTAGTAATAGCACTATCAATAACAAATCCATCGACAGCTGGTACTATTTGCATTCTATTACCAATTTCAACTACAAGACCAGTTTCCTTTCCTTCTGCATATAATGCCATTAATGCTGGATTAACAATCTTTAAAAATGGAACATTCAAATCATTAAACATCATAGATTTGATTTTGTCTGTTGCAACTTCATTCATATTTGGTAAATCTGTCATCACTACTGCATGGGCACTTGGATCTAATTCATTTAATTCGACTTGATAAATATTTTGGATAATGTCAAACAACCCATCCCAATCAGTATCATTTCTTGGATCAAGAGGCCAAATTAACTTGGCATTTTCATCAATAGCTTTATATCCAAATTCTTTTCTTTCTCCTCCTTCATATTCTTCATCTTCTATCACACAGTAACACGTTGGAATAACCTTTCTTGGTTGTTCTTCTCCTGCAACCCCAACTTTGATAAATGAACTTCCACAATCAAATACTAATACCGCATCATCAGCAATCTTACTTAACATTGCATTTGCCTTTTCTTCATTTTCATGTGCAAAGAATGCTGATTGTGCAACCCCCATCTTCTTCTTTTTTATTGTTTTTTTACCAGTACCTTTCATCTGAAGCTCTCCACCACTAATTCCAGCACTTCCTTGTTCAGTGGTAACTGGCATACTTGGTTGTCCTAAACTAGGTAATCCGCTTGGTTGTCCTAAACTAGGTAATCCACTTGGTTGTCCAAGTCCACCTCCAAGACCTAA